TTAAACATAAAGATGCTATTAAAATTTGAAGTCATTTGAAGGAGATCTAACAAAGTAATTAGATTGCGAAATGATATCAAATTTTTTGAAACACCCTGTATATATAATGGATTCTAATACATTTAACTGTTCTTAAAAAGAATATAGTATAATGAAAATTAAAAATGAGAATATTTCAAATCGTAGTTAAATAAAAAGTATTATGATCTGAACAACCCCGAAAATCTTTAAATTTATAAATGAACAAAAATGCCGTAAGAATTTTTTTTACCGTTAACAATAATTTAAAAAAAAATCCAGACGACATCCATTCAACGGATGTCAGTTTTCATTGAAAAATACATCCCTACTCCTTACCAAATTGTAGCTAATAACTGATACAATGATACTGACATAAGGAAAATCTAGATATCCCTTGTCCAATTGAAGTAGAATATTCTGTAACCATGGAAACGTGATTTTAGCTGTGTCTTTAAAACCCAGTAATTTTTAAAAGTTACTCCAAAATTCGCTTGAAGATGAAATGGAACTAATGCTTTTAATTTAATTGCAAAATTAAATTCGGGGCTTTTAGCTTCTATTTTTGAAACATGGTTAGAACTGTGTAGCGGAAAAAACATATTTTAAATCAATTAATTTATAATATTAATGCTCTGTAAATTTACATTGAGCACTATTTTGTAAAAATAAAAATATCTATAAGAACACCGGATTTTATATCTTACTGTTCTTTCTTTTTATATATTATATATATATATATATATATATATATATATAATTTTCTGGTGTACAATGACAGACCACAACTAATTGTTTCATGCGTCTTCACGCAATCCCCATAAGCCCCTTGGCGATCTTAAGATGTTACAGCGATAGTTCCTAATGTGTACATAATATGCCCATATCAACTAAAGTTACCAAGAAGGCAACTAAAATGGAAATTACGAAGAATCAAAATTAATTGTGAGAAAAAACCCCAAAAAACCCCAGACAATCCAAACACCAGAAAAAAAAACCAAAAGCGTCCTAAAAAGTGCACGTTAGCTTGGGAAGCAAAAAGGGCCCCATAAAAGGGGCCTAAAGCCAAAATAGTGCTCGAAATTACCGGACCCTAAAAGTCCCTCATATCAGAACATATCGAGTAACATACAAAGTAAGTAACTCCTTAAAATGTTTTCGGTGAATAAAGTATGGTTGTTATGACAATAAGCTCTATATTAAAAAAAAAAATCTTCTCCCCTTAGGCAAGGTGATAATATCACTATACAGAATGCCGGGGGTTACATAGGGTGAAAATGAAAATGAAAGTGAAAGTGATTGAGAAAATTGAAAATGGGGATGATTGAAGAAAGGACAAAAAAGAAATAGGGTTCAAGAAGACAGACGATGGCGATTGACGTTGCATTTACATTTTTGAAGATTGTAGTTATCAGGGAAGCAAGAAATAGGAAGGGTGTTTAACAGGTGGGAAGTGCGAGAAAAGAAACTGTTAGACTAGAAATGACGGTTGCATCGAGCTAGTTCAACAGTAAAACAGTGAGACTTAGTTGCAAGCCTAGTAGCCAGCTTAAATTCATGCAGTCGGGGCATCAGGAAAAAAAAATCGTCCGAGCAGTTACCATGAAAATATTTGTAGAACAGACAGAGGGAAATCATGTCATGTATGTGAGAAAGTGACTAGAGACGATATGCCTGTTCAGGATCGATTGTATTTCCGGCCCTTCTCTGGAAGAATCACGAGATGTACAGCAGGAACATCAGACCAGATACGGCAACAGTATTCAATACACGGACAAATGGTAGATTTATAAATGAGAAAGATGAATTCTGACGAGAAAATTCTTTTTTTGCAGCAGCAGAGGTAACAATTGAGCAGATATAGTCTCTCCCAGGGGAATACGCGAGGCCAAGAAGGCGTAGAATATCGTTCTCTTGAAGTTCAGCATTAGTCATCCTGATGGTTGGCAGAAATGGTTCTCTGTGGCGATTTAGTAATTTAGTGGTAAGAATATCATGGTCGCATCATACACGCCTTTCCGAAAACTGCAGAAGCTTTGGAAATTGTTGAATTGATTTCAAAGAGTCAAATCTCGTTCGAGCGCTACCAATTTACGTAAAAGAGTCAACAGCTACCAGTCGCATTTCATTGACAATGGTATTTGATTCTTTGGATAATGCGCCTGTTCCTTATTGCGAGACCAAAAACATTACATGCGTCAGAAAAAATAAATTGATAACTTGTTGCATATCCCGCTCAGTCTGTGCGACCGAGTCAGCATCATCCAGGGTATGACGATAAACTACATTCGGCAGCAAGGCTTTTGATCGGAGGTTTTGAGGAGCGTTGAACCACGTTTTTTTCTGTTATTCCCAGATCCACCCTGACCCGGGGTGGTAGCACCTGTTAGGGTTGAAGCTATTGGCAAATAGTTATCCCCACAAACTGGGGTCAAAACACTATGAAGGTATAAAAGTGGATTTTTATAGTAATATTACCAGTAATATATTTTTCAAAAAATAATAAATAACCTGCAATACAATTTAAAAAATATATCAGCAATATGTTTGACTCTCGACAAAAACCCTCCTTACAAAAATACGTCAATGAAATCTGATCTACAAACTGATTTCTTACAAAGAATACATATTCTATTTATACGAACCTAGCCTAAAAATCTTGTCGGAATTAAATAACCCATTGAAGTGTTGATATGCCGTAAAACAAAATAAACCAAACCAAGACAGCATGTAGATTTCATACAAGATTTATCTATATCATATGTACAAGATTCTATTTATATTTATCTTTCTTCTTCTTCTTCTTCTTCTTCTTCTTCTTCTTCTTCTTCTTCTTCTCCTCCTCCACCTTCTTCTTTGTCACCTTCTCCTCCTCCACCTTCTTCTTTGTCTCCTCCTCCTCCTACTCCACCTTCTTCTTCTTCTTCTTCTTCTTCTTCTTCTTCTTCTTCTTCCCGTGTTCCTTCAGGACATGGGCGATCATTGTCCTCCACATATTCATATCCTTTGTAGGTCTTAGCAATGTTTACCTATTTTCTGTCTCCCCTAATCTCTCTTCAATCAACCATTTACGCAAGCTCGTTGGGCAGGTTATTCGCTGCTGTAAATTTTCTAAACCCTCTTTTCTCATTGTGCCCTAAAAATGTCGTTTGTCTCTTCCAGATTCAAAGTGGCTTTTTTCCCCTTTTCCTTAAACCTTCCTCGTTACTCACATGTTCGGGTTATGGCATTCTCAGCATCCTTCTGTAGAACCACATTTCTGTTTCCTCGTGTCTCTTCCTCATCTGTGATCAGTTTGTCCAATATTCACTGGCATATAGCATATATTAATATTCACTGGCATATGCCATATATTATATAACAGTATTTTCTCTGTTACTAACGAAATGTTCTTGTTTGTTAATACTTTGTTGACATTTCTGAAAGCATTATTCGCTATTCCAATGCATCTTTGGATTTCGGTGCCGCATTTTCCGTCCTGTGATAAAACACTTCCTAGTTGTTTACATTTTTGTAATTGCTCGATGTTGGTGTCCTCATTTTGTAGTTCGCATCATGGGGTGTTCCTTTTGATGACACCCATGCATTCTGTCTTCTTACAATTGATAGTATTGTGGGGCTCGCCCCTTGTACACAAGATGGACTCGTCCAAAGTGTGACAAAAACGTCGAGACAGGGTGTTCACTCAGATTTATACGAGAGTCCAGAAAGAGAGATAATTACGGCTTGCATTACAGAGACTTGTACCTATACTTTCCTACTAACCCGCATTTCTGGACTACTAATCTTCATTTCAAGTTTGTATTCTTATGTTTAGTACACATATTTTTCTATTTCAATTAATGGCGTTGTTTATTTATTTGTGCAGGATTCCATCCCCAGAATCCACAACAGATAGTTAGTCCTTTCTTCTAGCCTTCCTCGACTATCTTCTGTTGGAGTGCCTGCAGATTTCTCACCATGGCATCATCAGCAACCTCCTTCAGAACTACAAGTCTACCCCTTCATCTGTGAGGAGATTATCCAGCATTCACTGCCATACAGGAGAAATGGTTAATGAGACCCGCAAATGAACTGCAAGGCATTCCATATTGAGTACAGAGGAGTCTTCTGACAGCAATCTGATTATCTGGTGTTTATTTTTATGATGCCGAGTGAGTCCACTGGTTGACCTTCAGACTTTGTCATAAAAGTCTACCTGGGTAACATATTGGTAGATAGGGAAGTTTGTGTTTTCACGATTGTGGCTGAGGAGGTTTGCCTGCGAGAAGCCATATTCATCACATTAGAGGGACTTCTTTGTCTTTCATTTATCTACCAGCTCTTTTCAGCTCAGCGTAAGCAACTCTGTTATTAAATAACAGTTATTTTGTATTCGCCAGCTTTTAACATGCATAAGAGACTCATCGCTTTTTCCCGCCATAAAAAGTGATATGTAGCGTTTATCACAGAAAAGAGACATAGTTTTTCCCGCGGAAAAGAGGCTTGTCGTTTTTTTTTTTTTTTTAAATAAAAGGCCTGTCGCTTTTTCCACAAAAAAAGAACCCTCGCATTTTGCATAGAGAGATAAGACATCCATTGACTTCTTGCAGAAAAGAGACTTGGCATTTATCCTACAGCAAAAACTGATCTGTTGCCTTTAACACAAGAAAGCCATCCCATTATTTATTAGGCAGAAAAAGACTAGTCGTTTTTTTTCCATAGTAAACAGACTTGTTGTTTTCATCGAATAAAAGAAACATGTAAATTTTTGCGATAAAAATTGACCCATTGTTTTTCCAGTAGAAATGAAAGTCAGTGTAAAAGCAATCGAACGCTTTTCCCGCAGAAAAGAGAAATTTGTTGCTTTTATCGCTGAAAAGAGATTTGTGACTTTACACATGAAAGAGATACGTTGATTTTCTCGCAGAAAAGTGACCCATCCCCTTTGATGCAGAAAGGAGACCAGTCCCCTTTGAAGCAGAAAAGAGACACGTCGCCTTTTACGTAGAAGGGAGACCGTCCCCTTTGATGCAGAAAGTTGACCCGTTCCCTTTGAAGCAGAAAAGAGACACGTCGCCTTTTACGTAGAAAGGGGACCCCTCCCGTTTGATGCAGAAAGGAGACCTGTCCCCTTGAAGCAGAAAAGAGACACGTCGCCTTTTACATAGAAAGGAGACCCGTCCCCTTTGATGCAGAAAGGAGACCCGTTTCCTTTGAAGCAGAAAAGAGACACGTCGCCTTTTACGTAGAAAAGAGACACGTCGCCTTTTACGTAGAAAGGAGACCCGTCCCCTTTGATGCAGAAAGGAGACCCGTCCCCTTTGAAGCAGAAAAGAGACACGTCGCCTTTTACGTAGAAAGGAGACCCGTCCCCTTTGATGCAGAAAGGAGACCCGTCCCCTTTGAAGCAGAAGAGAGACACGTCGCCTTTTACGTAGAAAGGAGACTCGTCCCTTTGATGAAGAAAGGAGACCCGTTTCCTTTGAAGCAGAAAAGAGACACGTCGCCTTTTACGTAGAAAGGAAACCCGTCCCCTTTGATGCAGAAAGGAGACTCGTCCCCTTTGATGCAGAAAGGAGACCCGTCCCCTTTGACGCAGAAAGGAGACCCGTTTCCTTTGAAGCAGAAAAGAGACACGTCGCCTTTTACGTAGAAAAGAGACACGTCGCCTTTTACGTAGAAAAGAGACTCGTCACCTTTGACAGCGTAAAGGGACTCGTCACCTTTGACATAGAGAAGAGACATGTCACCTTTGATGCAGAAAACAGACCCGTCGCCTTTGATACAAAAGAGATCCGTCGTCTTTTAAGCAGATAAACACCTGTCTCTTTTTTTCACAGAAAAAAAAAATATTTGTTGCTTTTAGGTCAAAAAAGATAATTTAAGGGTTTTCCCCTCAGAGAAAAGAACCACAATCTTTTACATAGTCACGTTGCAGTAAAAAAGAACTGTTACTTTTATCGCAGAAAGAGATTCATTGATTTTCTCGGAAAAAAGGAAAATTGTCGCTCTTTTTTTCCGAATGAATGAGACCTGTTAGTCATTACGTAGAAAAAGAGACATGGCTTTTTCGCAGAGAACAGATACCTTGCTAATATCGTTGAAAAGAGACTTACTGCATTTTTCCGCAGAAAACAGACCAGTCGCTTTTCTAACAGGAAAGTGGTACATTGCTTTTAATACAGAAAAGAGGCATGTCTTTCCCACAGAAAAGAGATGGTCATTTTTTTCCGCAGAAAAGAGACCCGGCGCCTTTTACATAGAAAAGAGACCGCCCGGCTTTTCCATTCGAAAAGACTTCTGTTATTTCTCTCTCAGAAAAGAGATTTGTCGCTTTTCCCACATAAAAGTAAATCGTCGCCTATTGCGTACAGAAGAACCCTCGCAACATTTTCCGTCGGAAAGTGATCTGCCGATTTTATCACAGAAAAGAGACTTTCTGTTTTTTTTTTCTGTAGAAAGAAGACTATTCCGTTACTTTTCTACAGAAAAATGACCTATCCCCTTTTATGCAGAAGAGGAACATATCACATTTCCCGCCAAAAAAAAGTGGCGTTACCTTTTACACAGAACACGATTCGCTTGCTTTTTTTTCCATTAAAGAAGAGACCAATTGCATTTTCCACAGAAAATAGACATTCCGCTTTTCTTACAGATTGTAACTAATCGGCCTGTGCGAACTGCTTGTTAACCATCACAATGTTGTCGACGTTTGTAATTAGTAAGGCACGAGATGATGAGTGTAGCGAACTTAGTCAGGATCAAAAGCATTACTTTAGCTAATGGTCAGCGAAAACAACGCTCAACCATAAGCGCCCTTGATTTTTCTCTGTGTTTTTGTGAAGAAAGCAACAGACCAACAGCCAATGAAAATCAATCTCTCTCTCTCTCTCTCTCTCTCTCTCTCTATATATATATATATATATATATATAAGGAAGAGGTTATAGTAGTTCTAATGTGAGAAAAGTATGTATATTAAAAAGAAGACAGAAACCGCAAACGTTTTTGGTTGTAATGTGGATTTAAAAAAAAAAATATTATGCTTTATTTTTCATAATTTTGCTACACGGGTTTCCGGTCTCGCGACCTTTATCAGGCAAACCGTGGAGATTTTGCCTGATGAAACTCTTGTAGCAAAATTATATCTTTTATGGTTTCTCTCTTCTTTTTTGATATATATATATATATATATATATATATATATATATATATATATATATATATATATCAAAAAGGACATTAGGTTTCTCTCTATATATATATATATATATATATATATATATATATATATATATATATATATCAAAAAAGAAGAGAGAAATTGCAAATATAGCTTAGATGTGGCACAAGGCCGAAAGTATGGAGAAATTAGTAAGGACTGAACTCACTATTCAGTCGTAATTGCTCTAACAAGACAAGCTTACCATTACGAAATCAGGCTAAGATATAAGCAATTGCTCAAAAGTAGGATACAGTGATACAATTAGTAAGACACAAGGTTATGATTCTGGAGCAACGAGAGAAGGTCGAACTTTATATATATATCTATATGTAAAAGATTCTCAGAATTAACCTGTAGAAAAAAGACAATATATATAAAGGAAAAAAGACAATAGTACTTTTAGCCGACGCGTTTTGTCCAATGTGGACTTTTTTTAGGCAAAAAAACGAAAGGAATTTATTGAAAAAAGGTTTTTTTCCCAATATCACCTTTCCTAACAGAACCACTACTCTCCCAAGCTAACGTACACAACAAATATATCAAGACATCAAAAGAAAACAGTTGAATCCCTCAACACAACAATACAAACAATATTTCTACATGTGAAAATATTATCTTCAAAGTAATTGACGTAATTTTTCAGTTGACTATATGAATATATAATAGCGTTTCTAAATTCTTCCTCTAGTTGTTGACGACATTTTGTTTGTTGTTTACAGATATTTTGTTTCAATAAATTCATTTCGTTTTTTGCCTTGAAAATGTCCACATTGGACGAAACGCGTCAGTTAAAACTACAATTTTCCTGTTGTCTTTTTTCCTTTATACATATATCTATATCTTGATATCTAACTTTTTCCACTGGCATGAAGTGGATATATTATCTTGAAGCAATTCTGAGGTCTGCTGTTAGGAAAGTTCGTTCAAAATGTCGTGATAGAAAACTTTTGCATGTCTACCATGCATCGTTGTTTTGAATATTGCTACCACTTTTGGTCTGGTGGTCCTGTGATATATTTAGAGATTCTTGATAAAATCCAAAGAAGAATCTGCAATGTTATTGGTCCTGACCTGGCGTCTCGATTTCAGTCCTTTTTCCAGCATCTTTTTAAAGTTGCTTCCCTGTCCCTTTTCTATAAATACTTTCATGGTAATTGTTCTGATGAACTTCCCTCTATTGTATCTAGACATCATGCTTTTAAACGCAGTACTAGATTGGCGGTTGGTCTATCTATCTATCTATCTATCTATCTATCTATCTATCTATCTATCTATCTATCTATCTCATTCTGATAATATCTATCTATCTATCTATCTATCTATCTATCTATCTATCTATCTATCTATCTATCTCATTCTGTCAATATCTATCTATCTATCTATCTATCTCATTCTGTCAATATCTATCTATCTATCTCATTCTGTCAATATCTATCTATCTATCTATCTCATTCTGTCAATATCTATCTATCTATCTATCTATCTATCTATCTATCTATCTATCTCGATTTGTTTATATCTATCTATCTATCTATCTATCTATCTATCTATCTATCTATCTATCTATCTATCTCATTCTGTCCATATCTATCTATCTATCTATCTCATTTTGCCAATATCTATCTATCTATCTATCTGATATATATAGATTTGTTTATATCTATCTATCTATCTATCTATCTATCTATCTATCTATCTATCTATCTATCTATCTATCTATCTCAGCTGGTTATCTATCTATCTCATTCTGCTAATATCTATTTGTTTACTATCTATATATCAGTTGGTTATCTATCTATCTATCTATCTATCTATCTATCTATCTCATTCTGTCAATATCTATCTATCTATCTATCTCGATTTGTTTATATCTATCTATCTATCTATCTATCTATCTATCTATCTGATATATATCGATTTGTTTATATCTATCTATCTATCTATCTATCTATCTATCTATCTATCTATCTATCTATCTCATTATGCCGATATCTATCTATCTATCTATCTATCTATCTATCTATCTATCTATCTATCTTATGGTATAATGTGCTGTTAGTAACTCTCCACAATTGCTATATCGGGTGTATGAAATGCACATAACATGACACACAAAAATATGACATCTTTTTTTTATTTTTATTTCGAATGAAATGTCTTCAAATTAATGCCGTCCGTTTATTAGTTACATTTCCAGTATTATTATTTTCTTTTTTGTTTCCGCTCCTCACAACGAATTGCGCGCTTCCCATATATTGATTGCTCTAACCCAATTCTCGGTCTTTGTTAGTGTGGTATCTGCGAAACGAACACTCGCGAAGCGGTAGCGAGAACTGCCTGTTTTTGCCACCGAGGACTAGATATTCGCCGATCAGGGATAACCGCGATTTGTTAATAGATTCTTTGAAGAAGATCACGGTGAACTCACATGAGGTCGCTGTGAACTCGACCGAGGCTCGAAGTGCTGGCGATCCCAGTCTTGATAAGAGTCGAAAAAAGATACAGTATATTGAACACCACTTCATTATCTATCTATCTATCTATCTATCTATCTATCTATCTATCTATCTATCTATCTATCTCAGTGTGCTCATATCTATCTATCTATCTATCTATCTATCTATCTATCTCAGTGTGCTCATATCATCCATCTATCTATCTATCTATCTATCTATCTATCTATCTATCTCAGTGTGCTCATATCTATCTATCTATTCATCTATATCTATCTATCTATCCATCTATCTATCTATCTCAGTGTGCTCATATCTATCTATCTCTCTATCTATCTATCTATCTCTCTATCTGTCTATCTATCTATCTCAGTGTGCTCATATCTATCTATCTATCTATCTATCTATCTATCTATCTATCTCAGTGTGCTCATATCTATCTATCTATCTATCTATCTATCTGATATATATCAGTTTGCTTATATCTATTTTTACATACATATATATATACATACATATATATACATACATACATACATACATACATATATATATATATATATATATATATATATATATATATATATATATATATATATATATATGCATGTTTCATTACAAACGACAGACAAGGTACTACGGTTGAGCTCAAAAAAAAAAAAAAAAAAAAAGAAAAGCTTAACCGAAGTACCTTGTCTGTCATTTTTAATGAAGCATGCATAAAGGAAGGATTGCTGCTTAAATATACAACAATCAAATATATATATATATATATATATATATATATCAGTTTGTTGATATCTATCTAGCTAGCTATCTATCTATCTCATTCCATTCAATTCTGTCTCAGTCTGTTCATATCTATCTGATATATATCAATTTCTTTATATCTATATTATATATATATATATATATATATATATATATATATATATCAGTTTGTTTATATCTATCTATCTATCTATTTATCTATCTCAGTCTGCTCATATCTGTCTGCCTGTCTATCTATTTAAAGTACCTCGGCATGATCAATTTGTTAGCAAAGCTGGGCTGGTTGGTTGTCTTGTATTACCGAATAGCTATCTAACTATACCAGTCTATCCAATTCTCACTCAGTCTATTCTTATCTTACTCTCTCTCTCTGTCTGTATCTCTCTCTCTCTCTCTCTCTCTCTCTATATATATATATATATATATATATATATATATATATATCTCGGTCTGTTCATTATCTTTCGATTTCCTATTTCTCCTAATCACAAGACTCCTTTTGGCAACTGGCGTACTGATTGGGATTCATTTCGTGACTTTATTCCGGACGCCCCTTCGATTGATATTCTTAACCTTCGTATTGAGAATTCTGTCACAACGGGTTTTTTGGGGGGGATGGAGTCGGCATTGATGCTTTTGTACCTTCTCATAAATAACAGGTTAAACCACAATCATTTTGGTTCACACAGGCCTGTTCAGCACCTATACCCCACAGGAATCACTTTATCCGGTTATAACTGCGTGATAGTTCCGACAATCACAGATGCCTATTTGAGTCTACTCACAATAATTGTAAATGTGTCCTTGCTGAGAGAATGAGGTACTATATAGGCTTTAACAAGTTTAGTTGTGACTACTGCAACAGTGTGTTTCAAAGGCTTTTATTAAGGCTTCTATTGCTCCCTTCATTTCTATTATATGAGGCGTCTATTTCTCTTCTCATTTCTAATTTGTATGGATTCTATTCCTCTTCTCTTTTCTGTTATATAAGTCGTCTATTGCTCTTCACATTTCTATTATATAAGGATTCTAATCCTCCCTGTTTTCTGTTATATAAGGCAGCTATTCCTTTTCTCATTTTTATTATATAAGGATACTATTCCTCCCCTCTTTTCTATTATATATGGCTTTTATTCCTCCCCTATTTTCAATTATATAAGGCGTCTATTCCTCTTCGCATTTATTTTATATAAGGGTTCTATTCCTCCCGTCTTTTTTATAATATAAAGCGGCTATTTCTCCCTTCTTTTCTATTATATAAGGCTTCTATTTCTTCACTCAGTTTGAGGTGTTAACATCTGCTGATAAAGCGTAAAATTTTGCTCGTAAATTGTGCTCTTGACATATCTGGTGTATGTTTGCTTGACTTTTCACTTAGAACTAAGTCTCTATTGAGTGAAATGCATTTAACTCTAAACTGGATCACTTCAAAGCATGTGTACTTGATGCTATTCCTGAAATTGTCCTTAAGAAATATTTTTATTCTCTTTCAATCCCAATAGCCTCTTTGCGTCTCAGTGGCATTATCGCCTTGTTTGGGATGAAAAAACAAAAACGACAAAAAAGCAAAGACAGAAAAATGGTTAAATTAACAAACATTTTAAAATTAAATCGTACTAATTTGCACCGTTTATTTAACTCTTTGAACTTTTTATTTTATATTAATTTCTCGTTTCCCTAATTGCTACAACACCTTCCTGTTTTTCCAGCCTCGACAAAGTTAAAAAAAAAGAAGTTTACGCGGCCTTGTGGATGATGAATTATTTTCCATTTTACAATCCTTTTCCCACAGACGAAACAACGGAAGCCTATCACTCCACTATCGTCATATGCGTGGAAAAATGTTCTGACAGGCTACATTCCTTATTTCCAACGGTTCATGCCTTCATAAGTAGAACCAGCTAGGCAATGTACCCAGGGGTGAAGCGTCCTTATTCCCTTCGTAATAGATTGGTAAGAAAGTAGTTCCATTTGGATAATGTCTTTACAAGAGCTGCTGCTTTGTGGCGAAGACTCGTGAGAGAATTTCTTCCGTAACCGCTCCAATTAATCGGTTGATCGCAGACTTGAAAAATCTAATGTTAACCGTTATCTATCCTTCACACACACACACACACACACACACACACACACACACACACACACACACATATATATATATACATACATACATATATATATATATATATATATATATATATGACTCTCACGTGGTCATGTGTGAGGTCACGAGCTGCAGTGCTATTTTCGCTTCCACGTCTCGTATACACGAGTTTGTCGTTGCTTGGAAATCTTTCATGCAACTAAAACAGACTATCATTATTGTTTTGTCCGTGTATTGTTTAATATATTGAAATGTAATTGTCATCTTTGATAATGGCCTATGTAAGCCGATAGCTTAGATAGAATTAAAAAAAGCGTATCAATATTGTGCTTTACTCGCATTATTCAATGATAATGTTATTAAGCTTATCAGACAATATTAAAACAATTTACTTAGAATAAATAGACAAAACTTGTCAATATTATTTAATAAAACATGCATCAATATATATATATATATGTATATATATATATATATACATGTGTGTGTGTGTGTGTATATTAAAAAAAGAGAAATCGCAAACATTTTTAGTTTTAATGTGAATTTTTTTGAAAAATATATTATGCTTTATTTTCCTTAATTTTGCTACACGTGTTTCCGATTTCGCGATCTTCATTAGGCAAAGAGTGGGTATTTCCACATATTATTAAAAGGAATTAATTTTTATGTTTTTCGATGTTAAATATTCTCGATATTAGTCATTCCCTTCTTTTGTGTGTTAGTGTCTTCCTTGAATTGGCCGTTTCCTTTTTTCTTTCTTCTTTTTAATATACACACTTTTCTCTCGTTGAAACTACTATAACCTCTTTCCTTTATATATATATATATATATATATATATATATATATATATATATATATATATATATTATGTTTGGGTCAGTGATTGGGGCAATCTAAGTTTAATTATAAGACAGAAAAAGACTAACTCTTTCCGCATTCCTCATTTTGGCCTTGTGCCACATTTTGTATTTTTTATACAATTAAATATCGCTCTTCGCTATGGTATCTAGACTTTTTGAATTTAAGCGCAGTACTAGACCGACGGCGAGACCTCATCAATTTATAATTGAGCTGGCTAGGTGTAACCGTAAATTCTAAATTAACAGTCTCTTTTCTCGCACTTCACGCTTGTGGAACTCTCTTCCGGCTCCATGATTTCTAGTCAATTTTAATCTGCCAAAATTTAAATGCAATGTCAATAGCTATCTACTCTCCTCTTGTTTACTCTTTCTGTTCATTATTAATGTTTCTGTTCCTAATTCTTCCACATCTAGTAACCACCTGTATCTTAGAGGCTTTATTGCTTTGCATGGAATAATCTCGATTAAAAAATATCTTATCGCGTGTATCAGTTATTACAAATTTAGCATAGGAAAAAATAGTGAGCATAGAACAGATTGTGCTAGAGATAGTTTCGTGCAATACCGCAAATTGTTACAAAACCAAAAGAATAACCTAAAAGCGATGTTCTTAAATAGTCACGTCAAATCAAGACTTTCATATGGATGTCATCCATAGCACCAAACCCGTCTAGAAATATCTAAACTCTCAGTTGTATACAACTGTTTTCTGAGACCAACTGTTAAAATGGCTTTCAGCGAGTGAAGCTTGTTGGTCTTGACAAAGACGAAACTTATTCGAACCTTGTGGACTGGCGCCACAGAATCACAAACAAAGGACTTTACCAAATAACAGAAACGAGATCACGTGAAGACTTTCAACAACAGCAACAACTAAAATGGATAGCGCATGGAACTGGAAGTGAAAATAATGATATAATCAAGACGTTGTTATTCCACACTACTTTAAACAAAAGGTTAGGAAAGAAACCACTATTAATCATGGAAAGAGCGATAACAGTTACTGGACTTGAAAAAAGTATTTTCCTGAAAAAGTTCCTTAAGAAACAGATTTTATAAATTTTAATTGAAAGGAATACAGTCTACTCGGTCAATGAATGCCAATGGTTTCCTTATTAGGAAACGTATAATATTGCCATTCTTTCTATCTATATACTCTTTCTTTCTTTCTTTTTTCTTTCTTTCTTTCTTTCTTTCTTTCTTTCTTTCTTTCTTTCTTTCTTTCTTTCACACTCACTTAGTTTCTCTTTCACTCTATATCTTTTTCGCCATCTTTCTTTTTCTGTTTCAATCACGTGCTACTTTTCTTTCTTTTTTCTCTCTTTCTTTCATTTTTCATTTTCTCTTTCTTTCTTTCTTTCTTTCTTTCTTTCTTTATTTCTTTATTTCTGTTTCTGCCTTTTTCATCTTTCTTTCTCTCTCACTCAACAGGTACTTGTCTTTCTTTCTTTTATCATTTCACTCCTTCTTTCTTTCTGTCACTCTATCTTTCTTTCGGTCTCTCGCACAATCTTTCTTTCTTTTACTTCTCTCAGTCTATTTATACTTCTTTCTTTCTTTCTTTCTTTCTCCTCTTAACCTACTTTGTCCCCTTCTTTACTTTCTATTTTTGATAATTTTCTTTTATTTTCTTTCTTTCTTGTATCGTTCATTTCTCTCTCTATTTCTTTCTGTCTTTCATGTAACTCGAAGAGTAAATAGCAACATAATCAAGATGTTTCAAGATTCCACACTATTTAAAACAAAAGGCTAGGAAGGAAACTCCCATCTATACTGGAAAGAGCGATAACAGCTACTGGGCTTGAAAAACACATTTTCCTGAAAAATTGTTTTAAGAGAAAGATTTTATAAATTTCACAGCTACATAGTGTCGCTGGAAACGTAGCCTGTCACGTACATCGATATCACTATTGCTAGAATTCCTAACATTACTCACATCCACTCCATAAGCATCCAGTTAGCCGATATTTGCTAAACATTCCAATAAACAATCTAATAAATAAATTATATTTAATATTTTTGCAATCAATTCTCAAGAAGAAAGAAAATCTATAAATTCACTTTTGCATGTTTATTAAAATTCTAATTATCACTTTTTAAAACAATAAACATTGCCGAGGAGTGAAGGTAGTTAAAATAATAGCGGTGTCAAGGGAAAAACTATCTTTTGTGGATATGAAGGTTCAAATTTGTCAAAATTTCTTCACTCGCTTTGATAAAGATTCTCAAGGAACGAAATGAGTTGGCATGAAGTTTTCCTTTTCTTTCCTTTAATTTATTCGACAAGCGTCTATGAAGATAACAGATGCAGTTAATTCAATGAAATTCTTGTACTTTATATGCACTTTCAAGTCAGACGCCATTTTGGCATGGCAAAAATAAATTATTGGTTTGTGGTGGGAATATTTAACGTCTATTGACTTCCCTTGTCTTTGGCGTGAAGGGTCAGAATAATGAAATAGGAGCGTTCTTTTTTTCAGCGATCATTGTATATTCCTTAAAGAGGATTGACGATAAGATTCTTCGGCATTAGAAAGCAGCGAACAGGACTGTTTCTTTATTAACTCGGAAGCATGATTTAATGTATGTAATAAAGAACAATGGAAAGAAAGAATTTAACCCCTCTGTTCATTATTCTGATAATCCAAGCCTCGTAGCGAAGAACTGTGTGCATGTGTGAGTGTGTGATTTTTCTCTTTAAGCATTGAATAATAACAAACAACTGAGCCCTTTGGCTTGCCTCCTTAGAATATACAGATAAAAAGAAGACAAATTCTCATTTGCATTTAAAAAGAAGGAAGCGAGAAAATAAAATGGCAACAAAAGACAGAAAGAAATATAGAGAAGAAGGAAAAAGAAAAAAAAAATGAAGGAAAATACAGAATGAGATAGGCATACACACAGAAATATATATATATATATATATATATATATGTACATATCTATATATATATGTATATATATATGTATATATCTATATCTATATATATGTGTACATATCTCTCTCTCTATATATGTATATTTCTATATCTATATATATGTATATATCTATATATATATATATATATATTTATATATATGTATATATCTATACATATATGTATATATCTATATATATATATGTGTACATATCTATATATATATATATCTCTATATATGTATATATATATATATATCAATCTATATATATATATATATATATATATAGAGAGAGAGAGAGAGAGATAGGCAGATAAAAAGAGAGATAAAGAGTGGGGGGAATTATATGAAAAAAAGAAAATATATCCAAGTGGCAAGAAAAATAAATTGCTTCGAAGAAAAAGATGAGTTAATAACATGATGCATAAAAAGGAAGAGAAAGGAGAGAAGAAAATCAACGAATAATAATATCTGGCAGACTACCCGTCAAAAACATGATCAAGCCGACATTAATTGAGTAAGTAAACAAATGAATAAACAATAATTTTACGCATGAAAAATTTAGTCTTTGTAACTATATATTACAATTATATATATATATATATATATATATATATATATATATATATATATATATATATATATAGTTCCGCTTGTGCAGTATGGGACAAAATCCTGTTGCCAAATATAGGGTCTTTCAGCAGCCAACCTCTTGAATCGTGTGTCTAATGTGGTTGCAGCATAAACTCCTTTTTTTGTTGCATGGTCGGGAATATCCTGTTGTTTTTGTTGTTAGTTTATTACGGATTACCTTGTCCCCTGAAATGTGGTTACTATTTATGATTTCTTTTAGGTTCTTAGGTCTACGATATGCTAGAAAGTCGGGTTCCTCAAACGATTTTTTTAGGTCTTGTAGCATTTCCCAGCGAATTTTGATTATTAGAGATAGTGGAGGCAAAGTGGGATTGAAAGTGGTTACTAGAGGGATCGGCTGGGTTTATTTTTAATCTTGTACATTAGGGTGTCTTCTCTAGGTGTGGAAATTGCTTTATTTATTTGTTCCCTGATTAGGTGTTTATAGCCACGTGTTGTGAATTGATGCTCAAGATTTTGAGTGTGTTTATTTTATTGTGTTTTATTGTTGGAACATATCCTTCTGAGTCTAAGTGCTTGCGAATAAGGAAGGTTCACTTTGAAGTGTTTAGGGTGGGAAGGCTTAAAGTGTAGATAGTTGTGGGTGTCGGTGATTTTAGGGTGTAGTGTCGTTTTTAGTTTCCTGTTTTCATTTATGTAAATGCGGGTGTCTAAAATGTTACCGATTTTGTGGAATTTTCATAGTCAAACTTAAATGAGTCTTGTACTGTATTTAGGGTAATAAGGAATTGGCTAAGTTTGTCGTCACTGCCCTTGTATACAAAGAATATATCATCGATATATCTTGCATAGAATACGCAGTTGCTACCGATGAGGGGATAGATATGGGCCTCCTCAAATTTTCCAATGAATATTGTAGCATATGATGGAGCTGCAATGGTGCCCATGGCACAGCCTCTTACTTGCAGGCAGTGTGCTCCATTGAAGTTGAAAATATTCAATGTAAGAATATGCTCCATTAGCTTCATGATAACTTATGTGGGGGGGGTGTCTTATTTTCTTCTTTTAGTAAATGCTTCCTGAAGGGCGGTTAGCTATTCGATGTGTTTAATGTTTGAATAGAGTGATCCTACGTCCATAGTCACTAGAATAGCATTCTCTGGAACTGTTTGTATGTGATTAATTTTGTTTAGTAGATCTGTTGTGTCTCTGATGTAGGATTTTACTTCCTTAGCTAGATGTTTTATGTAATGGTCTACGAATTTGGAAATTTTGGTCGTGTGGCAGTTGAATGATGAAATAACCGGCCTTACTGGGTTGTTGCTTTTGTGTATTTTAGGAAGGAGATAGAAGCGAGCAGGTCTGATGTTTGTGGGTGTAAGTGTTGTGCATGTTTCCTTGTCGATTAGATTTTTGCGAAGCATCATGTTTAGTGAGTTAGTTAATTCTTTTTGGTATTCAGGAAGAGGGTCTGTAGGTAAGCTTTTATAGATTTCTTTGTCGGCTAGCTGATTGTTGGCCTCTTTAATGTATTCTTTGATTCCCCAGATCATTGTGGCACCCCCTTTGTCAGCCTGTGTTATGATTAGGTCATCTCTGTGTGTCAGCGTGTCGAGGGCTATACGTTCCCCTTCAGTAATATTGTTACGCGGCAGCTTACGTGCTACTGTTTTCTTTATGTCATTTGCTACGGCTAGTCCAAATGTCTGTATAGTAATATCTGTGTTTTGTGGGGTGAATGTAGTGTCCTTCTCTTTTAATGTATCAAGTATGGAAGTTGTGTGATCATTGTACCTGTAGTGGGCTTTTAGCCGTATTCTTCTGAAGAAGGATTTCAGGTCCTTTGAAAAGGTGTCTTTATCAAACATTGGGGGACTAGGGCAAAAGTTTAGTCCTTTATTTAATAACCTGAATGTGTTGAGCGAAAAAATATTGTTACTTAAATTTATAACTCGCCCGTATGGCTCATGTTTTAAGTTGTACGCATAGCGAAGTTCTTTCGTAAAAGCTTGAAAGCTTGCATCATGTCTTCTATTAGGGATGCTATACCCCCATTCAAGTGTCCTGGTTGTGGACTTTCCTGTTTTTTTGAAGGTTGAGTGTGTTTGCTGTTGATTTTCTACTAGGGGTTAATCTGGGTGGTGTGGGATGTCTAATGGGGTTATGCGTTTTGTAGAAGGGCTGCTGTGTTTTGGTTTGTGTATGTTTGTACGGCAGCCTAAGATATCCGATGCAATGAAAACGAAAGTAATATATAAATTCTAACGTTCATGCATATATATACAAGGTAACCAAAAAAGTTCTGTCCGTTTTTAAAGGAAAAAAAGAAAACGCTTCACAGTATGTGTAACTTATATTTAGTCTTCGAAGTAATCGCCATCGGCATCCAGCACCTTCTGCCAACGTGTCTCCAGCTGTTCAATGCCCTTGCGGTAGAACTCGGGGAGTTTTGATGCAAAGAAGTCCGTGAAGGCTTTGCGCAAGTCTGCTTCATTGGTGAAGGATTTCCTACGAAGATGATTATCCAGGGAGTGGAAGAGGTGGTAATCGGATGGCACAAGGTCAGGTGAATAAGGTGGATGGCACAAAGTCTACCATCCAAGTTTCTGTATAGTATACCTGACCACTCGCGCGACATGCGGCCTGGCGTTGTCATGGAGGAAAAGCACACCTTTGCGATTCATCAGTGCTGGCTCCTTCTGGCGCAATGCCTGTTGCACACGTTTCAATTGCTGCGAGTATAGGTCTCCAGTGACCGTTTGGTCCGTTGGTAGCAGTTCATAATGAACCACTTGACGACCTGTCCACCAGACACAAAGCATAATCTTGCGTGGGTGCATAGGCGGTCTTGCGGTGTGAGGGACAGCATCCTGAGGAGACAACCAATGTTTGGAACGCTTGGGAGTTTCGTACAGAACCCACTTGTCATCACTGGTAAGCACTCGATTGAATAAGGATTAGGTACGGTGGCGAGAAATCAGCTGTCATTAATTGTCCTTTGTGGACCTCCAACAGCGCTCGCGGAACCCACTTGCTCAGTTTGTACGTCTTACCTAGGCAGTGCA